CTGAAGATATTATTTTTGTACTTTTCAGGATATTTGAGTTTTTAGAAGGATATATAAAACCAGAAAAGCTTTTAGAAGCAGTCTCTAACACTTTTTTAAAGAATAAAATGAGGTAATCATTACCAACAGTGGTAAATCTTTATTTAGAAAAGCTGATGTGAAGAAAACCAAACAAAGCTTTACATAAAAGCCAAATCACATGAAAATCTTAGTGCGTCATTTGAAGGGCTTGCCTATTGTCTCAAACCTCTTATGGAAACTTGAGGTCAACAGATCGTGACACAGCCGAGCCTACATACCTCCCAACAAAAAGCTCCAGCTCTTGCGCGGTAAAGCATGAGCTCAACTTGTTTACATGCTGGTTTTCATCGGGAAAAGACAGCAGAGGTGTTCTACAGCGAGAGTATAAATGAAAAGCTTGCTGTGGCAGAGCAATCACATCCTCGCAGTCATGGGTATTATCTACTACCTCCTCACTGCCCTCGTCCTTTTAATTGAACTGTAAGTTGCTTCTCAATCATATCATGTGGGATTTGTAGGACTTTAAATGAAGTTTGTTTTCTGAGAACAACATCTTCCCATTTTTTCAATAATATCAATTGCTACAGTTCTAAAGCCGGTATGGGTCCACATCATTTTCCCGCACCCATGGGTCCGATGGTTCCCATGAAAGGCCATATGAAAGGTTTGTGATTTACAGCTTTCCCCATTATGACATCTACTGATTTATGTGATTTAAAATCTTGCAGGGGGCGCCATTCTTCCTCCTTTCCCTGATGGCGGAATGTTTAAAGCCCCAGTTCCTCTCACTCCTTACGCTTACGGACCCCATCCATATGAGTTATACGGTGGATTCTCTTATGCCCCGGCAAGTTTTCTCTCGAATTACTAGTTTGTTTTTCTACGAAATCATATATAGAAGTAGTAGCTGTAAATTGTTGAAAAATACAAATATTGATTAACTAAGTAAATCGATTATTTCAATGACCTATTTTAGTACTCCGGATATGGCGTGGCTGCGATTCGTAATATTGCTCAAGACTACCACAGAGGTGTATTTCTATAATGATCAATTATTGTAAATTCAGAAAAACGAAGTTTTCAGAGGATGCTCACCGCGTTGAAACTGATATGTTCGCTCCTGTACCTTTCGGCTTCGGTGGATTCATCAAGAAA